CCTTTACGACGAGTTAAAGTGGCTCTTCCCTTCTTTCCGCAGAAAATATTTCCTCGGATCTTTTCTATTCCAAACAATCAACACCAGACACCCTTCCTACATCTACAGTCTCCTATAGTTTAAACCCGTGGTCCACTCCCAGAAAACAAGATCCCGTGTTTCCGACCTTTATATCCCTTCCCATAGAACTAAGACGTTTGAATATTCCTTTATTTCCCGATCAACAGCCTTCTGGAATTCCTTGCCATCTGAAATCCGCCATGCCTCTTCCTTGTCCTCATTTAAATATCACCTCTACCAATTCCTTCTCACATCCCAAAATGACGTTATACAATAAAATAAATATTGCGAAACAGATTTTGATTGAGGTGAATGGTTGATAAAATTGATTGAGTTTTAATTTTAAAAATCAACCCATGCTTATTTTATTTTGTTTTCTTTTCATTTAAATAATGTTTTTTTTTTATTTCGTTTTTTCTCAAAATTTTATTTTATTTTTACTTGTTTTAATTTAATTTCACTGAAGATACTGTATATATTCTTTAATATTGATTAATGTAATTTTTGGTCAGATGTAGTTTTTATTTTTTTGTTCATATCTGTTATCCATAAGGGACCTTATCCCAGGATAAAGTTTACTTTCTATCTATCTTCTATCTATACAACTTATATAGCAACTTATACTAGCAACTCATTAAGGGATACCTCAGCGATAGGAAAATCAGGTTACGGGGTACCTTCTATGAGATAGAGCGGAAAGTAGAAAGAGAATGTCCACAGGGCTCAGTCCTGGGCCCGGCCCTGTGGAAGTTAGTATTTGACTAGTTCCTGTGGAAGCTAAAGGAAGCGGAATTCGGTGCCATTGCCTACGTTGATGGCCTGGCTGCTATAGTAGCAGCGAATAGCTGAGCAAGATTGGTGGCGGGAGGAGAACGGTGCGCCACCAAAATCGAAGAATGGTGGGGAACAAAGAAAATGAAGATGGCGACGGCAAAGACCCAAGCCATTCTGTTGAAGGGTTCTACAGACAGTGCCCACCCTATTAGTCTCAGAGTAGGAGGAGATAGAGTCCGCCTAGGTGAAGAGGTAAACTACCTAGGCGTGAGATTTAAAGCTAATTAAACATCTCTCCTCAGATTGAGCACCTACGGAGTAGGGTGACCTGTCCCTAAATGGGCTGGCACGTATAGGGGGTTCCTTTTGGGGCCTCAGATACCCTGGGTATACTGAGGTATGAATCTTTAGAGTGGAGCCGTAACCTGAATCAGATGCAGAAGAAGATGATGGCCTCCGTCCAGAGGCTTGCTCTACTGAGGTCGACTAGGGCGTACGGGACCATATCCCACGAAGAGGTGCAAGTGCTGGTGTGAGAAGCACTACACTATGGTCCTGACCAAATTTCTATGAAAATCATTAAAATCTACCTACCAAACTTACTTCCTACACTCCTACAGATCTACATTTTTCCTTCCAAAATTCCATTTTTCCTAAAGCCTGGAAAAAAGTCATTGTTCGGCCGTTGAACAAAGTTCCTGCTCCTTCACTAGCGTCCAACTTCAGACCCATTTTCATTTTATTCAAGCCTCTAGTAAGGTTACTTCACTCTCAGTTGAACAACTTTCTTGAGCAAAACCGTCTTCTCAATCCTCTACAATCCGGTTTTCGTTCCCAATATTCCACCCAATCTGCCTTACTAAAGATTACCCAAGACCTCCAATCGTTCTTAGACAAACAGAAAGTCTCCATCCTAGTCCTTTTCGACTTCTCAAAAGCCTTCGACACCTTTAATCATAATATCCTCATTTCCAACCTCCAAAGCCATATCAAATAGAATTCTGAAATGTCTCCTCTCTTTTTTATCCCATCGTTTCCGTACAGTTGTTGTTCCTGGTAAATCTCCTTCCTCGTCCCTTCAATTAACACGGGGTGTTCCTCAGGGCTCCTGACTCCCTCCAACTCTGTTATCCATTTATATTAGCGACCTTCCTAACTCCATTCGTCATTCCCACTATCACTTATATGCGACGATCTACAAAAAAATAAACTAAAGCTGAACGGAAACTAAGGTAATCCTCATTGGCGCCAAGCACCTCATCAGTTCCCTTTCTTTTTATCCTTTACTTTACCTCAATAACAATAATTTCTTTCAGACAGTCAAAAATCTCAGAGTGACCTTTGATCAGAACCTCTCTTGGAACAACCACATTCTCCAGATTATCCGTAAATCCTTAACTATCCTTAAACAATGCCTTCGATTCAGTGATTCGGTTCCGAAAAAACAAAACAAAAAAATATACAGCTCCTTTTAAATAAAAATAAAATATAAAGATAACAAAACGTTCCTTGTTTTCCCCAGCTTCGATTACAGTTGTCTGGTGTATGCAGAGCTGTCCAGTGGTGAGACTGAAGAAACATATGAATTGCTTCATAAGATTCATGTTTGGGATTCCCAAGCGTTCTCATGTATCTTATTGGTACACCGAATTGAAGTGGCTTTATTCTACTTCCCGACGGCAATTCCTTCTTGGTGTTTCTCTTTTTTAAGTCCCCAGAATCAAAAACTCTCCCTACATCTTAGAACTCCTTACTTTACGCTCCTCTATCCATCCTCTCAACACCAGAACTCAACCCATAGATTTATATATCTCCTCTCGTAAAACCACTTCCTTCAGTAAATCCTTCGTCATTCGTGCTACCTCCTTTTGGGACTCCTTGCCCATCTCCATACGTTAAACCACCTCCATAAACTCCTTCAAACAACTTCCATTCCACCACCTACTACAAATTCAAATTTCCCCAAGCTTGTAAAAATTTCTAGGTTATATAATTACATTGGTCACCAACAGTTAATTGATTAATTTTTATTTATTCACTTTTTTTATATCTCAATATTTATTGTATATATATTTTTTTCCTTAGTGTTTTTTGTAGATATTTATATTTTCCTTTGTATTTTTTAAAATATATTTTTCCTTAGTATATATATACAATTTCTTAAGTATTTTTTGTATATATTTGTATGATATTCACATGCCAGACTAATGTACACATTTTTTTAACTCTATTATTATTCTAAGGGAACTTCAGTCCCCGAATAAAATTATTTTTCATTTCAAAGAGGCAGGGACTGGAGGCACTTCCAGAGTAGATTCAGTGGATGGTCCGTGTGGATCATGAAGATGAAGTAGTACAGTCCGAGAGGTGACACTAGAGGAGTGGAATGGGCGGTGGGTTGCAAGTGAGAAAGGAGTCACCTTGAGAAGGTACTTCGACTTGGGAGATTTAGAGACTATCTCAGAAAGCATGCGAAGAATATTGACTCCTTATGTACTGATTGCAGTGCCCCTAATACGGCTGATGGAGCAAGCCAAAGACATATTGATGAGGAGGACGGGACTGTACGATCCCTAGATGAAAAGGAACTTTATATATATATATATATATATATATATATATATATATATATATACATACTAAGGAAAAATATATTTTGTATATATAAAAATATATTCCGCCGACTGGCGGAAGAGGAGAAATACCCCTACTTCGTAGATTTAGTGGAAAAATGGAGACAGAAAGTGGAGCTCACACACTTCACGATAGGAAGAGAAATTCTACCAGCAGGCCAGGAGCAAGAAGAGCGGCAGAGGAAGCATCATGCTGCTGGAGGAAGCGATCCAGGAGGGTAGGACGCGTAACCAGTTGGAGGCTAAGGGGCGGCTCCATCAGTAAGGCACACACCCATTCACCGAACCGCACCACAGTGTTCAACCAATAAGGTTGAATACAAGTAAAATAAAATAAAGAGCCTTATTGGTAGCAGTAGACGTACATATTCCCAACGTATTAACCTCCGCTGTCGAAACCCCGTATGGCAAAAGTGCCATGAAGGGAGGAAAAATAGGTTGCCGGACAACGCGCAGTGATGTGCACAGGCGTTAGCCCACTCGGTTACCCCGCTCCGAAAAATATTAAAAAAATATACTCAATAGCATACTTTTTCGTTTCAAAATAATAATTATTATATACAACACAAAACAATATACATCATAATAGATATGGTAATGGTCAGATTCTCCATTCAAGGCATTTATGTCTGTTTTAAAGTGCCTTTGCTCAGCCTCCACTGGTTCTTATAACCAGTAATGCGGCGGATGAGTGACAGGCGCTGGGATCTCCTATAGTCCAATCTTTCGGCTTGGCTCGGATATCTTGAGTGAATGAATTTTGTAAATATTGTATAAAATATATAATGTTTAGTTCCTTTTAGTTTATATACATTTACATTCAGTTTTTATTTATTTAGTTTTTTTTTGTTATTTTTTTTTTTGCCTCTACCCTGCAGGGTCATTGGCAACACCTTTTAATTAAATTCGATTATAGAGTTTCACCGCTTTTAGGAATTTTAATGGGTTTTTTTTACAGCCTTTTCGTTGTCTTTTAGGTTTTCTGATAGGTATGGTGCTATATTGGTGCCAAATTTTCTGTGATATTTTTTTGTGTAGGACAGTCTTGAATAATGTGTTTTACAGTTCTTTGGATATTGCAGTTTTCACAGATCGGAGGAACCAGTTCTTTTAGTAGGTACGCGTGCGAGAACACACAGTGTCCAATTCAGAGGGTTGCGTCTTCTTTTCTAGAGGATCGACGAGAGGTTTCGCATTTTGAGCAGTGGGATATTATTTCTCTCAGTTTAGAGTCGCTTTGCTTCCACTTATTTCTCCAAATTATCCGAACTACACCTACGCCCCCAAATTGTCAAAATAACGAGGTAAATACATAATCGGTGGACAACTGTTTCATTCCAACGAATCCAAGAAACACCAATCATAAAACGTTATTTGAACAAGTTTTAACTGTTTATATTTAAAGTAGTAGAAACTGTTGCTCCGAATTAACAGTTCTGCATGGATCTCAGATCTTTGTGCACCCCCTGGTAGTGGGGATGCAGGGGCAGGACTGAGGGGAAGGGAGATATCCCTCTCAGTGTTGTCAGTGTTATGGCTCCAGCCAGCAAGTCGAGGCGGCAGCAGCCCGCTCCGTCTTCTTCGTCTTCACCCGCGTCTAATATAACTAAAGGTATTTGTCTGTTGTTATTCATCTGCATGTAATTAATCAATTGGCGCAGAAATATTTATTACTATTAGACTCATGCGAAAACTTCGCACAGTATATTTATTGTTAAGTGATCAAATGACAAATTGTTAAGAAAAAAAATAATGCAACTTTTAATAAGATCAAGAAATCAATCGTTACTTTCTCGCTAAATACAATCGACAAAGGAACCAAAAATTAATTTAAAACTTCATTAATACTTCGAAATAGAATGTTTACAAATTTCAACAAGCTGTATTTTTGCTAATAATTATCCGATTTCGAAGATTTTTTTTTCCTTTTATAGAGAATTTAGTTATATTTCATATACCCATAGACATAACCAAATTAACGTAAGGTTTTGTGGATGCGAATCCTTTGCCTTAGTTCCTTTGGTGTACTCATCAAAATCTGCAAAGCCCAATTTGTCAAGTATCAATCTACAGAGTTATCACAGTTCCAGTATTGAAGCCTAGCAGAATGTTTATGTTGCCTTTATTTTAAAAAAAAAGAAAAACAAAAGCGGAGAGTACGATTCGCTAACCCCCGCGAAATTCTGAATCCAACAGTACCCCATTCATGGTATTTGAGCATGACAGGAGCTTATATTTGGTAAAAAACCGATTTTGAGCCTCACTGTAATTATATATGTGGGGATTTTAGGGAAAAAAAGGGAATTTCGATTCAAATATTAATCAGAGCTTTAAATGATAAGAATCAAATGATAGTTTAATAGCTGAACAAACAATTCTAAAAAATATTTATCACTTTGAAAAGTTCTCCGCATTTAATATTCTTATGAGTTCAAACTTTTTCTTTATATTTTATTTTAATTTAACTATCATATTTTTTAATATTTTAAACCTTCGACGAACCATCAAGTTTTCAAAAGGTCAGAATTTTCATTCAATCTAATTAAATAGAGACTAGTAAATGTTTGATTATTAAATAATAAATATAAATTTTGTAACCAAGGTTTGCAACTATTTATCATCCTAATTTTTTAAAAAAATAACAGTCATCTATTTTAATATTTTTTTAAAGTTAAAACCATTGCTAAATTTCTTTTATTACTAATCGCAAATTTATATAATTTTAATTTGAACCAGTTTTATATTATGTACATATTTCATACTTACAATTTTTGTGTTATTTTAACTTATAATTGCAACATAAACTTAATATTTTCTATGCCTGTATTTTTAAAAGTGAAAAATATAGGCATTTAAAATTAAATTACTGTTATACTGAATCGTTCGGCAGTTATTGTATATTTTTATACAAAACAGGGAATTTCACAAAAAAATGATGTTAAGAATCACGATGTATTCCCTAATTATTTTAATACTACAGTGAAGTTCACCTATTTTGACATCAATACAATACAACTTACCGTTGTTGAAATATTTTATCCGCCTTATCAAACGTTAATAAATATCTAATTCGACTTAAAAACTCAACTGTTTTAAATATGCTTTTTAACCTAAATATACTTAATAACCATATTTTGACCAAATATGTATTAAAAAAATTTGCCCAAATATTTTGAAAGACATTTTCCATAACGGTGTCGTTTCTTGTTTTTGATAGCATATGCATCTTTATATAAAGTTATTATGTATCTTTTATATATATATATATATATATATATATATATATATATATATCTTTTATAGTTATTATCTTTAATATACACACAATATGTACAAAGTTATTCGATCTTAAGTTATTATATTTTCCTGTCTTCTAGAGAAATGAGAAAAACGCCGTAACCAAGATATGGTTGTAGAAAAAAAAAGTTAAAACGCGTGATTTTAACATTTATTAATGTGCCATAAAAAAACACATCTTCATTGGTGCTCCTTCTCTGAAGTACAGGTAAACAGCTCAAGCGAAACCATTTTAGTGCGCAAGCTACATTTTGTTATTGTAATAACAAACTACTTTCAAAATGGTATAATATTATTCAGATAATAAGATAAAAATATTATACTAATAATTCAAAATGGTATATTTGAAAAGGTTTGGCACGCGTAATCTCCTAGCCTAAGCCCCGCCCACAAGAGTCTCTGTTGGGGCAGAGGCGGTAAACTTTATGATTCTCAAAGGATTGGCTGCTTAAAACATAACAAGTTATCTTTCATGGAAACTTCTCGCCTGAACAATGGAATGTTATTTACGATCATAGAACGAATTAGTGTTGTTTTATGCCGCTTTACTGGCTTCCGTTCGGTATTGAATTTAATAATACTTCAAGTCATCGTGTATCAACATAATATTTTTAAATAAAGCTAATTGGGGATTTACATAAAAATTGGATCGTTACAAGTTCTTTGATACTTAATTCTAATAACCGTTAGTGACCGAGTCCGAGAAAAAGAGCTTTATAACGAAGCACGGAGCTTATTTACCCAGTTATGTATTAGAAGTCGTATCTTCTAAACAATTATATTAAATCGTTTTTACAATTAGCAATTATTACAAATAAACAGTTAAAGTTAAGTTTATTCCTAATGGAATTGTAATATTAATGAGGTGTTTATTCAATATCTAATTAGAAAAAAAAGTTATATTGAAGATATTCAAAATTATTATGTGAAAGAAAGAGCAACTTATAATGAACTGTAGATCCTAAGAATTTTTTTAACAGCATTAAATAAATTATTTGTCTTGATCAAACTAATATTTCAATATAGTATTTTTGTTTTATTACCTAATATTTAATGTAGAGTAAAATACCATACGTGATTTTTTGCTTCATCACTACCAAAGTTAGGGGAATCGTGCGGGTTGGTGACTAGATGGCCTCATATCAATTTTATCAAATTCAATCCGGAACTTCCGCTTGCGCACGCGCCTATGTATTTTCATGGATATAGCAATATTTCAGAAATTTCACGTTCGATTTCGGTCAAAGTTACAAGAAAGGTGGGTTTTGGTAAAATAATGATTTTGAGCCGATTTTATTGAATTCCGTCTTCTACTTTTTCTTATACAGGGTGTTTAAGTGTTAAGTAGCCGAACTGAAAATATGAATTCAGAACCTCAAAACAACAAAAAAAATTCCTATGAAGGTATATCCGCAAACGCTTTGTTTAAGAGATATTTACACCTAAAGATTTTCATTGTTATGAATTATTTACGTTACATTAAGTAAATAAAATTAGATTATTTGTTCCATCTACTTTATTAATTAAACGTAAACATTAAATTCATATTAAATTTTCAAAGTGATTTTCTTGAACATTGAGACAGGCTCGGCATCTTTCTTCAACACCAGCTGTGGCAGAACGGCACTGAATATGTGTTATTGTTTCACAAGATTCAATTATCCTTCTTCGTAAGGAATTAAGGTCCTTGACCGGACTTGCTTAGACTTTTTGTTTAATACAATACACCCAAACAAAAAAATCCAGTGGTGTCAGGTCTGCAGAGCGTGCTGGGCAAGCCATTGGTCCTGCATGGCAAATCCATTGGGATAATGCGGTCATATTTTGAGCAACATTTAATATGAATGTTAATGTTTACATTTAATTAATAAAGTAGTTAGAACAAATAAATAGGTTTTATTTATTTCATATAACGTAAATAATTCATAACAACGAAAATCTTTAGATATGGATATCTTCTAATAAACATAGCGTTTGCGGACATACCTTCAGAGGATTTTTTTTTTTTTTGGTCCTTAGTTTATTGTTGCAGTTTGGCCACTTACCCCTGAAACACCCATATATATATATATATATATATATATATATATATATATATATATATATATATATATATATATATATATATATTATATATATATATATATATATATATATATATATATATATATATATATATATATATATATATATATATATATATATAATATATATATATATATATATATATATATATATATATGGGTGTTTCAGGGGTAAGTGGCCATATATATATATATATATATATATATATATATATATATATATATATATATATATATATATATGAGCAAACGCATTTTCCCTAATATGTCTATATCTCTAAAACCTCTAGTTAGATTTAGCTCAAATTTGGAGGGAAGTTATGGATTGTTCAAGAGATAATTGAGTAAGTATTAATTTTATCAAATTATATCCTCTATCCTACAAAAAGACTTCCGCTTTAGGACCAGTAAACGTATTATTTGACACGCCTATAGTATGAAAACGGCTTGTTCAATTTGACCTTAACTTGGTCAATTGAGGAAATAGGAACTTGGAGAAATGACGAGAATAGTTCAGGAATTGTCTAGTACCAATTTCATTTAATTCCATTTAATAATTAAAATTAATAATTTCCTTTTTTACTATTGAAGTGAAACCAGCTCGTCGTGGTCTCGATTTCCTCCTTGATCACCAAAGTTGTGTGAACTTCAATATTAGTTCTGACTGAGAGAAAATATTAGTCTCGTTAACTCCGAACTAACAAAAAGTTTAATTTTTCCACTGAATTTTCCGTTCCAATCATTTTGCTAGTGAAAAACTACCTAGTATATATCGCTGCTGTTATTGCAAACGGTCGTATGTGACAATTTTTCATTTCTATTCTATTAGTGGTAAATGTGACATTATGCAACATATGCAACTGATGTAGGATAGCTTGGTAATAAGGAAACGAGAAGAGGAAAATAACACATGAAATTACACTCATAAGTCATAAAGAAATAATTAGTTTTCATGCTTTCCTGCAAAACGTTCAATTTTTATATACAACCTTTTGCACTAACAGTAGTGATATTAATGTTCAGTATGCACTAGGTTCTTTCGTATTTTAGTATTCGTCGATGAACAAAATTCGTGGGTATCAAACCCGCGAATGTTAAAGAATTATTTCCGAAAACGGCTTCTCCCGAAGATTTTATTCTGATACAAAAAAATTATAGAATTTGAAGTATATATATTGTTTAGCCAATAAAATCGGTGAGGAAGCTATACTGACTTACTTGGCAGACTTTT